AAATTGCAACCCATGATGTAGAGTCATAGAATTATAGAAAGTTACAGCACAGAAGGAAGCTATTCAGCCCATCGAGTCTGCACTGGGTATTAGAGCAAGATGTTTATTCAATCCAATTGCCTCGCCCTAACTCCATACTTTTAATGCCTTTATCTTTCATATAACTCTTAAAACCCTCAATGGACTCTGCCTCTACGACCTTATAAGGGAGGGCATTCCATGTCCCAACAATTCTCTTTGTGAAAACATTCCAAGTTCTCCTTTCGTCTTTATTGTGACTCTTATATCTATGTCTCTTAGGCACTGACACCCCTATCAATGGAAATAGCTTCTTCCTGTTTAGCCTCGCCAAAACACCTCATAATTTTGTACACATTGTGTGAATTAATACTGGTGCTAAGTTTCATTCTTGAAATTTCATGCTAGGCCTCACTCATAGGCTGTGGACGCCAGGAGAAACATCCCTTTTCTTTTCAAATACTGCCATGGGAACTTTAATATCCATCTGAACACCCAGCATCTCCAACAATGCAGCGCAACTCCAGCATTGGAGTTTGACTCCACTGGCTTCCCATCACACAGAGGGTATAGTCAAGATCCTGGTCCTCACCTCCAAAGCCCCCCATGGTCTTGCTCCCCCTTACCTCTGTGACCTCCTAACCCCCACCATCCTGCCCGCTACCTCCACTCAGCAGGCTCCTCACTGCTTCACACCCCCCAATTTGTTAGCCCCATTCACGGGCGGGCATCCAGCCACTCTGCACCCACCCTCTGGAATTCCATCCCGCAGTCCCTCCGCCTCACCCCCTCCCTTGCCACCTTCAAGGCTCGTCTCAAGACCCTCCTCTTCGACCATGCTTTCGATCTCCCTGTTTCCTCCCCTGCCCTCCACCCTCCCCAACCCCAAGCCCCAGCTCGGGTCCGAAACTCTGTCTGTGCAGCACCTTGGGAAGTCCTCCCAACATGAAAGGCGCTTTACAAATGCAATTTTGTTGTTGTTGTTGTTGTTGAGTTCAAAGTCCCAACAAAGGGCTTGAACCCACATGGGCTGCCTTCAAGCAAAAACATTGAGACTGAATTATGAATAGGGGGTGACATTCATACCTGTTAATATCTTTAGTAAAAACAGGGTGGAATTATCAGTGATGTGATATTTAACACATCACTGGTCACAATTTTCAAGAGGTCATTGGGGAGCAGAGTTGGTCTCGATTGACAACTACTACCTTTACATTGCTGTGTTGTAAATTAAAGTGATTAAAGTACTATGATACTGCCAACTCGAGATTGTTAACCTTAATTTATAATGCATAATTAGAGCGTAAAGAGCAGTGACAGATAGCATTACAATAGTGGTATTTTGTGATGTTAATCCTTGCTTTTGATACAGCACCTTTCACATTAGGAGGACATCTCAATGCTCTTCACAGGACTTATTGTAAAGTGCAGTGCATTTGTATTTTATGGATGAATGCTGCAGACAGTTTTCACATAGCAATGTCCCACAAGCAGTCATGAAGTGAATGACTAGTTTTATCTGGAGGATTGTTGGCCAGGGCACCAAGTGAAACTCCCATTTTCTTTTCAAATACTGCCATGGGATCTTTAACATCCATCTGAACAGGCAGCAGGACTTTAGCATAATGACTTATCTAAAAGACAGCACCTCCGACAAAGCAGCACATCTCCAGCATTGGAGTGTTTCAAAGTCATGACAAGGGGCTTGAGTCCACAACCTTCTGCCTCAAAGGTGAGAGTGCTCCAGACTGAGCCAGCCTGACACATGGACAAATGGAAAAATGGTAGCTTTTTGAGCTCATGCTATCTTGATATTTAAGTATTTTGAGAAAATATCATAAAATCTGGAATGTTCTAGTCAAAATATTATTCCGGATTTTGTTTTTATTTGTAAGAAAGAGTAATGAGTTTGTAAATGAGGCATACCTTATGCATTAACATCTGCATGTATTTTGTGCAATTATGTTACTTTCAGCCTTTTTGCACTTTCTCTGCACCAATGCAAACCAGCACTAATGGTCTGGTAAACTGCTTGCAAAAGATGATTGCCTAACCAAATAAACCAAATAAGTGTGCAAATAAATTGAATTTCAGCTCCTGCTTACAGTTATAAATAGCTTAATGTTGTGGAATCTGGTTTTTCAGAAACCCAGAATTTGCTTTCCTGCCAATTAAATAATGGAATCAGAAACACATAGTTACCATGAGCCTGACTGGCCAAAACACTGACTAGCCAAATTCCTGATGTTCCCCACTACCAATAATGTGGAGATTTCACTCACAATTGCCATATGGTACTGAGAGGCTAAGTGAGTAATATATTCGTGGCTAAATATATTTGTTGGAGTTCTGGAAGTTGAGACTTGATCTGATTGAGGTGTTCATAATAATGAAGGGTATTGACAAGTAAAGAGGCAATGGCTCCTCACTCAAATTTGGGAATCCAGAATACGAGAATATAACCTTAAAATTAGAGATGAGCCAAGAAAAGGAAAGTCCAGAAATGGGCTCCCTTAGCAAGCCATAAAGCCAGTCAATTGAGGCGTTCAAAAAAACGATGGATAAATAATTCTTGCATTTGTAAAGTGCCTATTACATTGAAACATCTCAATTGGACAGGGCATTTGTCCACAATGTTTTAGAATTCCTTTAAGTGCTCCCTGTTTATCTGGTAACAATAGATAGGCCAAAAAGCAGAACTGAAAGTTTTGTTAAGGGAGTCGATCATCCTGTTGAGATGTAACAGTATCTGAAATAGGGCAATTGATAAGATCAAAGGTTTAGGAACACAGGATCCATAAGATCACAAGATTGATCTGGATGAAGAAGGCTTTTCGGCCCATCTGATATAATCCATCCAAACCACCACCCTACCATCCCCCTATCACTGCATCAAGCTGGCCTCTACTGACATCTCCTGGCAATCTGTTCCAATGGTTGATTACCCTCAGAATAAAGAAAAACTTCCTGGATCTTATCAGAATGTTTGACACTGAAACATTGGGAAGAGGGGCTCGGCTAACAATTCACTTAATAAATTAACCTCTGGTGAAATACTGGCCATTTAGTGGGGTTGAGGACATTTTCTGGTTCTGAGGTAAGTGGTAGGGTGGGGTCAGAAGGTGGGGTGCAGAGAGTGAATGTGTGCATGCATGCGTGTTTGGGTGCTCTGGGTGTTTGGAGCAGAAGTGGTAAAGCAGAGAAGCAGCACACGCAAAGGTTGGCTGGGTAAGAAGGTGGAAAAGAGCTGTTGAAAGTAATTCCAAGTCTGAAGTGTTATTGCAATGTTGAGTGTTATTAAAGCCCAGAAGATTCTGCCACTTCTGTCTCCAACTATGATTATTAGTAATAATAATAATAATCCTTGCATTTGATATAGCGCTTTTCACGTCGGGAGGACGTCCCAAAGCGCTTCACAGAACACACTGTAAAGTGAATTGACTGTATATTTGTGGGCGAACGCGGCAGCCAATTGCGCACAGCAATGTCCCACAAACAGTCTTAGGTTGAAAATGACCAATTTATTATTGTTTTGGGTTTTTTGGAGGGATTATTATTAGGCGTGTGGAGTAAGGAAACTTGCCCAAGGTTTCGCCCTGCCTGGAATTGAACTCAGGTCTCTCACTTGCAAAGCGAGTGCTCTAACCACTGAACTACAGGACTCCGATGTAAACAGGTGATACAATATCACGTATTAGCCCAATACCCTGGAATTCTAACCTCAGCGTTCTATCCCTATTCACACACTTTGATATATTAGTAAAATCACCAACCTAAGTAATGTCAAGTCGTCTGATTCTTCAGGTAGTGAGGATAAAAACAGAGAAAAACACAAGTGGTCTATGAGATGACAGAGTATTCAGCAGCTGTTGGCCTTGTTTTAGATGCATTGGAGTCACGAACAGAGCTGAACTCCCAAAGGTCACCCAGACTCTTAAGTTGGTTTGGTCTCAGACCAAGGTCATGGGGAAAGAGAGAGATCTTGGCTGACTCACAGTCTGGAGAGAGTTGCTAAATTCAGAATTTTTTCCAAATGGATTTCAGTTCATAAAATTGTCATGCAAATCCAATGCTTGCAATATTAATCAACTTACTAGTGTTTCAAGGAAAAGTTGAAATTGAATGCTGATCTCAAGTAGAGATAAGCAGTCCCATAGCATAATGGTTAGCGCGCTTGCCTTACAAGTGAGAGGATCCAGGTTCGATTCTCAGCCGGGGGAAAAACTAAGGCAAGTTTCCTTACACCATACTCTACCTAGCAGTAAACCCAGATGTTAGTTGATTGGCGGATTGCTTTCCAGGGGTAATTGGCTGTCACGTTACACCCACAAAATACGCAGTCACTTTACAATATATTAGTGAAGAGCTTTAAGACGTCTCAACAATATGATAAGAAGTTATAGCAAATGGAAGGATTATTATTATTGTAAGTGACATTAATGGTGCCACATAAAAACTGATGTTCTGCACTAGCAGCTTTTTTCAGGTGTGAAGTACTTTCTGCTTAGCTTTCTTGTGACCCTTTAAAGTTTTAAAAGAATTTTATGATCTCAGAATGGGAACTGCATGAAGAATGCTCATTATCACACATGTGAATCTGTAGTGGTGATTTTTTTGTTTGACAAGAACAAAGAAATTACTCGGAGTTATGCCAGTTAAAAAAAAATTGCTGGTGAATTGACTTTGCCCTAAGTATTAGCTGTCAGTGCCTGGGCACCGACGATGGGGAGGACAATGCAGGGGATTTGAGGCAGGTCAATGTTTGCTGAACGAAGGGAGCGGCCCAGTTAGTAAGATTGCAGGTGGTCACAGAGGTAGGATGCAGAAAGCTGTGGTTATGTCACACTATCAGGGAGTTTTGGCAAAGCCCAGTTTCTGAAACTACCCAGCTGGAAGTTTTCCTGTTACAGTCCTTTATTGGCCCCTGGGAAGTTCAAGCTAGAGCAGTTGCAATATCTGACAGGGCAAGATATTGTTGTGTGTGTGGGGGCGGGGGAGGGGGGGTGGAGTTCTAGGGTAAAGAAGATTGAACAGGTTGTTTTAATTTTTTAACAAACTTTTAGAACCATTATTTTTATTCCAGACACAAGCAATAACTAATGACATTATTGTGCCATTTACTAAAATAATTGCCCTTTCATTTTAGCAGGACATGAATTCCCTGTCAAGTGAAATGTCATTATCTGGATGTATTGCTGAAAGGTTCCTCTGTGTTTGTTTCCATTTCTAAGGATTCTTCATCTTTTGATTCAATACACGGGACCGAGTTTTTCCAGAGGCAAGCTACAGTGAATGCAAGCCATATATGGTTATCGGCCAGGGAGGAAAAATATGAAGCAGCTGGTACAGAGGCTGAAATATCGAGCATACAACTGAATGCCACAAGAAGACTGCTAAATAAATAACGGTAGGTGGTTCAAAAGTTCAAAGGAAAGAGGGTAGAATATTGGCAAAGCTTGTTAAATACAATATAAAAGTATAGCATTGTTGAGAAGATAAACATGGCATTGCTTTGCACTGTGCTATGTGGTTAAATAGGGTTCAATTAGCTTATGCATAAAGGCTATTTGTCAAGTTGGTGTCCAGTTACCAAAAATGTCAATAATAATAATAATAATCCTTGCATTTGATATAGAGCCTTATCACTTCTTCGAGACGTCTCAAAACGTTTCACAGAATATACTCTAAAGTGAATTGACTGTATATTTTGGGTGAAACTAATGGAGCTTAAATGTTAAATACTCAGTTGTATCAGCAAACTTTTTAAAGGGGCACCCACTTCATGAAAAAGTGCTTGGCAGACCTTTTTTTGTGAAGAAATGTAATTAAGTCATCAAAACATATCTTTCCTACCATTACTTGGCGGTTCATTATGATAAAAACTTGGGCTTGCTGTGTATCTTACCCCCTCTCTGCCCCACCACCGGTGGCCAAGCCTTTAGATTTTATCCCTTCAAAAAAAATAATAATTTATTCATTCAATCATGACTGTTTGTCGTCCTCCCAACATGAAAGATGCTGTACAAATGTAATCTTGTTGTTGTTGTTATTTGTTGGACACTATTGTGTGCAATTGGCTGCCGCGCTTTGCCCACCAAATATATAATCATTTCACTTTACAGTACATTCTGTGAAATGCTTTGAGACATCTCGAAGACATGAAAAGGCACTGTCTCAAATGCAAGGATTATTATTTATTATTATTATAGTTCAACCTCTGGAACTCCCTCTTTCTAACCCTCCATCTTGTTCTCCCACCCCCCCACCTCTGTCTATCGTTAAATTCCATCTTAAAACCTACCGCTTTGAATTCCTCTATGGCCACTGCTCCTCTTTCTTGCTTTACATCTGACCCTGTCTTTGTAAAATGCTCCAAGGGTGCTTGAAGGGCTCCATATAAACGCAGGTTATTGTTGTTGTTGACAAAGTGCACTTGCCTCTTCTGTCCCCATCTTTCTGGCTCGACTTCAAGCCACTCCACTTGTTAAACGCTCTGAGACCATCTAAATGGCACTATATAAATGCAAGCTGTTTTTGTTGTTCCTTCAACAGAAAGAAGAGGCACTTTTTCTTGAAAACAGAGTGATCCTTTAAATGCATGTTTTACCTTAATCTTACGGCAGATCTACATGAAAAATGTTTGTGACTTTGGGAAGCACTTCTCAAGTTGGAAGCTTGAATAATACATCTGATGTATCCAAGAATGCTCTCAAACAACATACAACACAAAAGCCATGATTAAATGCACAGTTAGTTAATACTAGTGGAAGCCATTTATCCAAAAGCAGCATCCAAAAGACAACAATTGTACAGGTTTCGAGTCAAAAATCTAATAGTTTTCAACTCACAAGTGTGTTGGAAATAGCATATGCTTCCAAGAGATTCTACAAGTATTAATTTTAAGTGCTGTACCCTACAATTTTATGGTCTCCAGGCAGTTCTGGTGTTAGAACATTTTCAGTGTACAATACGCAAAGCAATAATTGCTTCATTTACACAACAAATGTATTTTGTTTACACAGAGAGTTTAGGATTTGGTGTTCCAATTTTGTGTTCAACGCAGCATCTACAATAATTTTCAGAGGGAACTAGATAGATATCTAAAGAGGAATAACCTCCAGGATATGGGGAAAGAGGCAGGTATATGGGACTGAATGGATTGCTCTTTCAAAGAGGCAGCATAGAGGCGATGGCCCAAAAGACCTTCTTCTTTGCTGTAAATTTCTTGGGTTCTAAGTTATTTATTCATCATAGCATTTGAAGTGTAAAGATACATTAATAGGCTAAATCTAGACCCGGATGGAATATTTAGCCAACAATGCCTTCACGTTAAAATCAGGTTAATTTGTATTTGTTTCAAAGTAAGCTTTGCTGAACATCAACAACAATAACAAATTGCATTTATGTAGTGTCTTTCACATCGGGAGGACATCTCAAGGTGCTAGACAGTCAAGGATTTGCACCTGAGCTCAGGATTAGATTCAGGAGCATTGGGAGCCGATGGGGTAGTATGGCCAAAGATGAAGGTCTTGCTAACTTCAATCAAAATGGGGATCTGAAAGCTGAAACAGAAGCTCTCATAATTTCAGCACAGGACCAGTGGAGTCCTATAGCTCAGTGGTGAGAGTACTGTCTTTCCCAGCAGGGTTTCCTTACTCCACATGCCTGATAATAATAATTATCAATAATAAAAATAATAATAATAATCCCTCAAGAAAAAAACAATAATAAATAGGTTACTTCAATCTTTGACTGTTTGTGGGATACTGCTGTGTGCTGCCGCATTTCGCCCACAAATATACAGTCAATTCACTTTACAGTCTATTCTGTGAAGCGCTTTGAGACGTCTAGAAGATGTGAAAAGCGCTTTATGAAACGCAAGGATTATTATTAGTAGTAGTAGTATTATATCTATTACTATCCGTTATTATGAAACAAGATCTTAAAGAGAAACATTGATCCAAAATGCCAAGTACTAAAAACAGCAGACCACGTGTTATCATGTCCAGCCCTAGCATAATTAAAGTATCTGATTCAACATAACAATGCAGTTATATATATGTTCATTCCTTGTGCCATTTTTATTGATTCAGATGAACTACTTTCTATATCGTTTTGATGGATGTCATACTATTGTTATTGTTATTAATATTAAGTCAGGAGGAGATTTACAACAGAGTAAAACTGAAAAGAGATCCTGAAAAGAGTACAGTGTAGCTCTGCTTGACACACCAGGGGTAATCCTTAAGAATGTGTGCATGGACTATATCTCAGAAGGAACACAAACACATCAGCTGAGGAGAAGGGCAATTCATCCTGCACAGAACATTATAGGTCAAGGGAGCAAATAGTTATGAGTACACTTTAAGACATTCTTTCATGTTGTGTACATTTCTTCCATTTTCCAATGATTCCAAAAATTCTATAGTAAGTTTTACATAGAGTTAAATTCTTTATTCAATGAACCTTCTTTCAGAATTGAATTGGTGACCATTTTAGCCAAGTATTTCTGTACGGAAGACGTGAAGGAGAATATACTCTGCTGTTGAGACTCATGAGATGTGTCTGGGAAAATAAACCTTTGATTCAACCTCAACACAATCATGGCTCATAACATTCAGATTCATAGAAAGTACAGCTCGCAAACAGGCCATTTGGCCCATCTAGTTCAGCCCGCGCTTATATTCCACATGAGTGGTTACTGATGTTGACAAACTTCTGTGTGCCTCTTTTGAATTGAAGTAATAATAATAATCCTTGCATTTAATATGACACTTTTCACGTCTCAAAGTGCTTAACAGAATATACTCTAAAGTGAATTGACTATATTTGTGGGTGAAACACGGAGGTCAGTTGTGCACAGCAGTGTCCCACAAACAGCCGTGGATTGAAGTGACCAATTTTATTATTGTTTTTTTTTTCTTGAGGGATTATTATCAGGCATGTGGAGTAAGGAAACTTGCCCAAGGTTTCTCGCTGCCGGGAATCAAACCCAGGTCTTACGAGATGAGTGCTCTAACCACTGAGCTACAGGACTCCTCCAGGACGTAATGACGTGTCCTTAAACTTCTTCGACGTAAATTTGTCCCTGACCTTTCTACATTAGTATAAAGTGTCAAGTATATTGGCATAGAAAGAGGGTAGGGCAATTTTCACCTCTTGTAGTGGTTCCACTATATTTTTATGGGTTTTGTATTGAAGTGCTCATAGGAACAATCTTTAAGTTTTTCTTAGCATATTAACCAGTTTTATGCCTCCAGAGATTATGGCACTGAACTTTTATCCATCACTAAGTTGTACACAGATTTCACAGTATCTATGCTTTTCAGATTTTTCATTCAAATTAATAGGACAAAGGATTTATGTTGTACTTAGGCTGCTTTTCACTGTAATCCCTACTATTTGGGTAGTGATTCACCGTACAAGGAGCAGTACATGTCTAGATGGAGCAGCACAATTGAGGAGCAGGTTGAGCTGCATAACTGTTGACCGTTAGTATTTCCACATGATGGAGATCAGCTGTTGAGCTCATCTGCAGATGGCTTCACCTGTAATTGTATCTGGATTGCTACAGTATAAATGTTGCCATCACGTGACTGGCATGAAATATGTGGTGCATCATGTGGTAATTATCACATCACCAAAAAGTAATAATATATATAACAACAACAACAAAATTTGTATAGCGCTTTTCACATCGGGAGGATATCCCAAGGTGCTGGACAGTCAGTGTTTTGGACCCGAGTTGGAGATCGAGATTAGGGAAGGTGGAGGGCAGAGGGGGAAGCAGGGTGAACGAAAGCATGGTTGAAGAGAAGGGTCTTGAGATTGGTCTCGAAGGAGGCAAGGGAGGTGGAGGGATTGCGAGATGGAGTTCCTGAGGGTGGGGGCAGAGTGGTAGAAGGCCCATCTGCCAATGGTGGGGCGGGCAAGGTGGGGACGTGAAGTAGGTTGGAGCCCACTGAGTGGAGGGAGCGAGCAGGATGGTTGAGGGTTAGGAGGTCGCAAAGGTAGTGGGGAGCAAGGCCATGGAGGGCTTTGAAGTTGAGGACCAGTATCTTGAACTGTATCCTCTCTGTGATGGGAAGCCAGTGGAGTCAGGCGAAGATAGGGTGATAGAGTCACGAAGCCTGGTGCGGGAAAGAACACGGGCTGCAGAGTTCTGGATGATCTGCAACCTATGGAGGGAGGAGTTGGGGAGGCCGACAAGCAGGGAGTTTGCAAATTCAAGCCTCGATGTTCTAAATGCGTGTATGAGGGTTTCGGCGGCCTGTGGTATGAGACAGTGGCAGAGCCGGGCAATGTTGCGGAGGTGGGGAAAGGCAGAGCGGGTCAAACAAGACGTCAAGGTTCTGGACTGGCTTATAATAATATAGTAATAACGACTGAATATAATAATATTTTTTA